TTTACCAGTAGATATAAATGTCGCAAAGATGTACCGTTAATACAGTAGCTCTATTCAACATGAAGGAGTTAAGAAATTAAGTGTTTGTTGTAGGCTGTATAGGGCCTACTGTAGGTGCCTAGTATGCCAAATATGGAGTTTTTTTTAAAACTTTTTTGGCGTGCCCTATTGACGTTGAACTAATGAGGACACGTAATATTTCTGATCATTTTAACAGATAAATGCCATGAATAAATTTTGCCAAAATAAATCTTATTTATCCCCTCCTGACGAACTTCGCCACCAGCTGTTAAACATCTTTGCTGTGACAGAACAGTTCTTCATCGCGCGCAACCAGGAAGTCACTTCAAACACGTGGAGATAGCGGAATTTGAAAAACCCACGCGTGTGTAAAAACGTGGTATACCTAGCTTGTTACAGAATTGCGATGTGCATCAGGAAAGGGACCAAAGTATGTTCAGTCGGAGTAAAAATACCGTTTACCTCAAGAAACTCAGTAAGTATTTTTTTTTCGCGGGAATACACATGTTACACTACATTTGCAGAAATGGACATTATCATTATTATATATATATATTGATTTCCCCTACTAAAATACATAGAAAATTATCTATGGCCTATTTAACCCAATGACAATGTCATTTGTGAAATAAGGTAAATCTTTGAACGATTCACCATTTGTATTTATTTGTGTATTTATTAAATGCATTTACTGTTTTAATTCATTAATAGGTTTATTTAATTCATCTAAAGAGCTTAATTTCTCTTAATTTAGCCCTAATTAAAACGAGTGATAATGTTGATAGTGGTTCAGTTTATAGTTTAACATGTGTAAGAAATCTCTTGTGCTGAAATAGTGAACGCACAGACACTTCACTAATTGAATCATAGCAACGTCGTCCATGGCATCTGATATGCCCTAATTGGTGTGGGAGCAAGGCATATTGTGAACTCTATTAAAAAATGACACAGATGTCTGTTACTGATTAATCAGCAGAATAAGTCCCAGTAGAACTCCCCATAACCTTTCTTTCTTTCTTTTTTTTTTTCAAAGAAGATGAGCTGTCATGTTATGGTTCTCAAAATACAGGAATACATTGTTCAAGTGGTAAGATATTAACAATAGAAGAGCACTTCGAGCACCTGAAGATAAAAGGAATCAATAGTCAAAATGCTTAGGATATCATTTGCTAATAAGCAGAATATGATAAACCTGGCATGCTATTTCACTTGAATTAGGAATTGTTTTAACAATCTAAAGTATATTAAATTATACCAGTATGCTAGAAAGTTACCATAGAAAAAATATGAAAACATGCTTTTGCATTTCCCTAGTATGTTTGGTGTAGATACATGTATATACGTATATTTTTCTTCTTTTTTTTCTTTATTTATGAGAGTTTGAAGTCATCATACATGTACATTCACATCTTGACACTCATCAGGTATGTAGATGTAAGGAAAACTAAGGAAATTATAAGTTAACAAAAAATAATAATGAAAATAAAAGAATAAAGGCATATGTATAAATTAAATCCCATTAGGATTTTCCTTTCTTTTTGAGTCTCTTTTGTGATATCCAACAACCCCCCAAAAATAATAACCACCCAGCAGTTACACTTTTGATGGAAGGCAAAAAATATAAAAAAATATATACAGCTTGTTCTCAGATGTAAAATGTTCACCAATACCATACTATTATCTTTGCATCACACATCCATGCACAAAAATGCCACATCTTAATTGTCCTCTCTGAGTTAGTCATCAGCAACTCGATCCTGACACCAGTGCAGCAAAGTAAGTAATATAGAACAATACGAAGCCCTTTTCCAGATACTTTCATGCTTTGACAGCTGGGCTTAACCATGCATTTTGAGAATGTTTTTTTTAAAGTTTCGATGTAGGTAACTAGATCTATATGTTAAGAGGTGTACTTAAGATCTTACCTTTGGGCAGGTGAAACATGAGGCCAGGAACAGGTGTTGGGGTGTAAGGTATCATCCTGACCTACCACAGACAATTTTTTCTGTGGCTGGGACAGATTCTACATTTATGTATAGACTAGAACTATATCTTTACCTCATAATTATGAATTAATAATTCCTATTTGTTTCACTGGGATAGCAGTCAACTCTGGCACAGGTTTAATTGGTGATCAGTATTCATCATTTTACACTTCATATGAAGATGAAAACTGTACTATTCCAGGGGCGGATTGTGGCAGTCTTCTGGGTCTTCTGGAAGACGGTCGGATTTTCAAGTTTACATTGACAGGTATCTAATTTTTTTCTGTCGGAAGACGGTCAAAAATGGATGGATCAACAAAGTTTATTTGGAAGACTGTCAGAAAATATCTCTGGATCCGCCCCTGTATTCCTGTTATACATGGAACTCTGTCTTAATGGTGCTTGTTATTAAAGTATAGGCTTCTGTGTGTGTGTGTGCGTGTGTATGTGTGTGTGTGTTCAAATACAGATAATTAGTGTGATATTATTTACTCAGTCTGTGTCTTTCCAAGAAAAACACAGAAGAATTTCCAGTGCATATATATGTTAACTTAAGAGGATATCACTTTTAGAATGTAAAATTTCAAGCTTTTAAAAACTTAAATTTAAAGAGGTTTTGAGTTTTCAAGAAAACTTGAAATTTGTCATTTCTTAATGATGGAATGTTTATTTGGAAATCCTATCTCCAAATCTCCCATTAGTGTGCCAACTGCTTCTGTCTCACTCCCTACCACCTAACCCACCACTCCCATCCCAAACTCCATCCCTTATTCCATCACTTCCATCCCACTTTTCATCCCTTATCCCACCATTCCAATCCCCATCCCCCTTCCCCACCCTCAATAAAATTATATATTTACCTTCAATTGATTCCACAACAAAGGCCACATTAGCCTCCCAGTCAGGTTTAAAAAGACCCTGGATGGGGTGGTTAGTATGCATATGTTGTTTAGGTTGACTCTGATCCCTGGGGTTAACCCCCTGGGGTCACCAGGGAGCTTGATCAGGGTGTTAACTACACACATATCCTTTTAACAAAACAAATAAGAGTCCATTGTGAAGTAAACAACTCTTTTAACTTCCAGGCTGTTGTGAGAGTGTGAAAGGACTACAATAAATTTAACCATAATTTTATTGATCTCTTGTTGTTGTATACTTTGAATTGGCACTTGAGGACTCTTTTGTTCACTGAATAACCCTCTTAGCTTCCATTACAGTCTTGTTAAATGGTATTTCCAAGTTGACTTTTTATTTCAAGTTATTGTCCATTTAAAAAATTGCCTAAACATGAAAGTGTGATAACTGATATTTTGTATATTTACAAAAGTGGTTTGTGGAACATTATTTAATTAGTGCGATATTTCAAAAGAAAACTTATGTAAGACTGAAAATTCATGGTCTATGCTTTTAGACTAAGTTTTTTGAAATCATATGTGAGGTAATATAGACCGTTAGTCATCCACTTAATAAGATATTGCACCTGTCTCATAAAAAGAAAGAAATAATGTTTTAGAGCAATTTGTTAATTTTAGTGGATGACTTTTAGGGATTAATCTTGACATGAAGTAATTTTTAGGTATAAAATTTGGACCAACTTTCAGTCTCAGGTTGCATTGTTAATATTGTCTTGGATGTGTAATGAAAACAACTGAAAATAATGAAAAAATTAATTGACTTATTAGTAAACTTGGTATTGGTCATTATGCAAACATGCTTATACCTATCAAAATTGACTCTCTTTATATTGACATAAAAAATTAACAAGAATCAATGAATAGCATTGCCTCTGGCCAAAACACAAGTGGTGACCTCCCTGGGATGTGTTTGGACACTGACAATGTGTGTGAGAGAATGTGAATTGCAGTGATTTGAGAACAATCACACACATAGTGTATTTGACTGGCTGCTCCAGCCTGAGTTTCAGAGATTTCCAGAGACTTCTATTATTTGAAAACATGCCTGTGCTATTTTCAGTGACTGGTGCTGATACTGCAGGGTTACTTGTTTAATTTCAGCAAACTCTGCTACAATCGTTTCCTTGATTCAAGAAAACACTTATGCCAAGTTCCTTTATAGTGACTAATAGTGTGTGTGTGTGTATGTGTGTGTTAGTGTGTGCGTGCACATGTGTATAGTGTCTATGAATGCCGTGCTTTGACTGTGCTTTCATGCATGCATGCATGATATATATTAATTTGAAAGGTTGAATACATTTAGTGAAAGATTTTAAGATGGCAAAAAATAATAATGCATTAATTATCCTCTACTCCTAACCCTTAGCCCCCTCCACACTCTACTTCACCCCCCCCCCACCTACATTCTTCTGTCATTGGCAACAGAAGCTATAAGGTGTTATATACAAATACATATTATCACCATGTATTGCTGCACAAGCAAACAGAACTTCATACAATCAGCAGGTATTGCCATGTTGCTAAGCTATCTTTGCTGTAGATTGGCTTGCCACTTGACTGTGACAAGGAGAGAGAGATTTTAGCATGCTTTACTGATACAGCAGCCACGAAACTGATTAAGGAAGGTAAGATGGTCTGAATTATGTTCTGTTAAAGAGGTACTCACAATATGGATATGATTGAGAAAAGAAATCATGATTTAAGACATTGCTGTGATGAAAAACTCCAAGTGTAAAAAGTGTTTTGTGAAAAGTGGATATTACATATAGCAAAGACTAAAGTGGTATACATACCCGGTAGCTGAGCTGACAACAGCCCTTCAAAGGGTCCAAGGCTTTTTTCTTCAAAAGTGTCACACTTAATTATGCTGTTTAATATATCTTTATGATATGAATTTACACCAAAACACAAGTTGGATAAAAGGAAAAAATGCATTATCAAAAAGAAAAAAAAAGTGCTCTGAGACAGCACACATGGACACATTGAAACAATGCTCATGTCACATGCAGGCACCCACATGTCGTACCCTCTAACAGTACATCCCTGTATTTGCTTGTCTTTGTCCCCATTTGCTCACAATTACTTAAATCTGCTCTTTGAGGACAAAGTGGGATTTTTTTTATTCTCATTCTTTTCCATTTAAGATGGAATAACATTGACATAATACTGTTGTGGTTTTTGTACTTGACGGCATTTAGGAGCGGGGACATTTTTCCACTCCACTGCTGTATCTGAATGCTTGTCGTAAAGATACGCAGGCTTGTTTATCAAGAAGTGTGCTCTGCTTCCTGGACTAGGACAGTAAATTCACAGGGATTTTCTCTACTTATGACCATTAAAACTATGCACATGACTGATTCGAAATGAATCCCTGGAGATACTGACTCTTGTTCATCGAGAAAAGTGAATTATCCTGGATAAGTGAACTACTGGGACTAGTACAGTATTGAATTGGACTTGGACAGCAAGGTAAGTTGCAGGTTTTGACAATATTTTGGACTGGTTGGCAATATATGCATGTATATTTTGTGTGAATCTGAGTTCTGGTGACCAAATACCAGCAAAGCTTACTTTTGGTATATATATTTGGGTGTATATACTTCAGAGGTAAGTACATACTTGGAATATAGAGATGGATTGCTTGGGCCGGGGGTGGAGGGGATGCATCATATAACACATGTATATGTACAATACAGAACTAAAAAAAAAAAAAGATCATTTGGGTCTACGTCTTGCGACGCCTGGCAGCCCCAAAGAACCTCTCTCCATGAATCAGCATCTGCCACATTTCCAAAACAAAATAATTTATTCATCCTTTAGTTTGTAAAAAAGACACACCCCAGTCCTCCAGGTCCATGCTGCACGTTCTTCATTTACCATTAGTGGTGGGGTGGGTGGGAGAGGGAGGCAGTGGCAAGGTAAACCAGAATAATAGTATGGTAAATTGGGATAGAAAAATGCAAGTGCAGTTAGAAATTTCCTGGTCTTCTCTTTCTCTTTCTAATTTTTTAATTATAGCTGGTAGAAACTTTGTACCTGTAGTTGTTTTTTGTTTGTGTAAGTCTTGATTTTGTGCCACCATTAAAGTAGAGTGGGTTATTTTTTCTGAAAAAAAAAAAAAAAAAAACAAGTTCTTTATATTAAAGTTTTGACAGAGTTCCCCATTCCTTCTCTGAATCAGCTGCTGGGTAGTGACATATGATACTTTTAGTGCAAGACTGGGAAATTCACTTTTTGCACGTTGCAACCAGTATAACTTGACAGTGATTCATAGACTTTTAGCATATATCTGTCACAATTAAAACCATTGCTTTGTATTTGTTATCTTTATGCTCCACCTGAGTGCAGCCTTTATTCATTTAAAAATCTTCTAATTAAATGGAAGAATAGAGGGACTTGCCTCTTTAACTTAATTAGTCACTGCAATACAGACTGAATGATATTAAAGGTATTCAATAAATGTACGGTAAGTCGTGTTTCCAGTCAAATTGAGTTGATAGAGCTTAGACCGATGTCAGCATGTCATCTAACCATGGCAACCTCACCATTAAAAGGCAGTCTTGAGTTATGTGAATTACAATGAGCAGGATAACTAAAGGATTAGATATCACCTGTGGTGAGTGAAACTAGAATGGCTGCTAGTACATAGATGTCTCCTGTAGTGGTCGAGCTTCTGATGATCATGAGATATGCTGAGATGGATACAGAGATAGGTTGTCCCAAGTTGACTATAAACTCGCCTGCCATTAAAGTACATTTAACTGTTTAAGCCAGGGAAAGTTGATTTGTGTTGGTCACTGCTTAATTGTGTGAACAATTATATGTACAAGAAGATAGAGTTGAAACATTTTAGTAGAAAATCATATTCAAGAGATAAAAAAACAATGAATATATCTGAAGGTGGACATTTTTAGTCATAAATATTTTCAATTTAAGGGATATTATTATGAAGGGGAAGAGAATAACAATGAACATGTGATTTAGCCCATAAAAGGGAGATTTTTTTTAAATATCAAATGAATTGATTAATACATACTAGGAAATGCAGATATGCTATGTTTAATAGTTATTTTTAGATTTGAACATAATTTTAAAGAACTTTGAGTCTGATAATTGTGCAATCATGATTGAAAATAGACTTTCAAGATTCTAAAAGCTGTGAATGTTTTAAGAGTTGTACGGTTTTCAACAATAATTCTCTAAAAGATACAAATTTCATTAAACATGATATTAGCTAATGAAAAACTACAGAATTAACAAGTGAAATCAAATAAGATGTATATCATTTGCATTCATATTTTAGGAGCAGATACATCGCCATTAAAAGTGAGCCATAAAATGTTTCTGAAACAAAAGTCGTCTTAATTGTGGAAGTGCTTACATGCTGTTTGTTCTCAAATCATTTATCATGATGTATCATTGGACATAAAAGCTTTTATTCATTTTATTGAATTTTTAATTAGCCATTCCTAAGTATGATGAATGTCCACAAAAAAGTCACAGAAAACACACACGGTGACAATATAGTGACAGCGGAAAACCACCTCTTGTCACGCCAGGGAGAAATAATAAGCAGAAGATGAAGATTGATCGTTGGTTTGGGACATTTTAAGGAAATTGTGTTTGCTTTTGTAATCTTTATCAGGTGTGTATGTTCCAAGCTGGAGCATAATAATGATTGATTGTGAGGGCAAACAATGGATGCTAATAGAAAAATAACATTTCAGGTATGGTTAATTATGACATCTTTTCTTTGCAGATCTCATTAGGAGTATTTCCCCTGTTAAACAATCTCTAACCTAATGTTGCATTGAGGTGTTTTTTGAAAATATCAATTTTCGAGGAGGTTGCCTGGTTAAGTGTTCCACATATCTCTTTATACTGTTTTCCCCTAATTAATTAATGATTTAATGAAGCTGTAGATTGTTTCCTGAAAACAGCAGTTTAGAAATATATTTGTTTGTGTAGTAATTTATATATTCTTTAGCCCACATCCCCACAAATATGAAATCAAAACATTAAAATAGCTTCATAGGTCATTTGCTTATTAAGTTTCCTGGTGTTACCTAATGAGATTTATGATAAGACAGAAAATTGTAAATCTCCATGGATTTTCTGTCCAGAAAATGGTATAATATGGTATTATGGATCATTATAGAATTTCTTAAAAATCTATAGATTTATGAAAAGGCAAAGCTTTCTAAGGGCCATATTCTAACTTGATTCATTCATTCACATAATGCGACAACTCGTAGATCAGCGAGGCATGTGGCAGTTTTCTGAAAATATTCAATTCCAGAATAAGCTAGAAGCTAAAAGGTAAGAACAGATTGAAATATAATTTTAGAAACTTGTTTCTTCCATTAAACTAATAGATAGCTTAATAGAGCATTTGGACATTCCCCGAGTCCTGCTAATTGGTGAAGAGACAATTGTGGAGTGAGTATTTGAATGCAACTTGATATCGTGAGTCCATGACTCATGTAATGGTGGTGAATAAGAGAACCGCTGTCAGAAGATTGATTACAATAATTGGACCATTGTACTTCAGTGGTGTTGCATTATGGAGAGATGGATGGTCCTCCAACAGACACAATAAAAAGGGCTGTTCTTTAACTCCTGCAAGATTTTATGAATTTTTTTGTGAAACTTTTCTTTTTATATGAATTTATTTCAATTGATTAATAGTGTAGGCAGAGATTTAAATATGGCTGATCTTCAAAATTTACACTGATATTTTAGTCTTTTACTGGACCCTCTATTTGTGTCTTAATTGGCTTGATTCATGGGAATTTTTTTCTTTTTTTTCTTTTTTTTTTACAATGGATTAACTGGGCTAAAAGTACTAAAATCATATCAAGTCAAATCAAATATTTTTCATCAGTTCATAATGAGCATGAGACATAATCACATTTTTCTGCCCCCCTCTCTCTCTCCATTTATTTTCAGCCATCTTCACACTCTGGTAGTAATGTTAATGATACCTTTAACAATTTAGGCTGTCTGACAAGACAAAATCATATTAATTTGTGCATTGTAGACCTGCACATCACTTTGCTGATCAAGATTAAAAGAGGATACAAAAAAATCAATTTTCTTCTAGAAGAACACTGTGAAAACCATTCTTCTGCTTACCAGATAATGAAATTAGATGCTCTGTTCTCTGATGCCAGTGAGTCACCAGAAATGCAGTTGTTTTGTTTCTCATACATGTACAAGGGTTCATGTACTCACTGGTAAATTTAAATGTCATTGTGATTCTATTTTGTTAAAGTAGGTACTTCAGTATTATAATATTTACCCAAAAAAAGAAATTTCAAGATAATGAGAGATAATTTAAAAAAGAGTTTATATTAGCAGGTCTGTAGCCAGGGGAATTCAGGGGTTCAAACGAACCCCCTTTTTAACAGATGAAGGTTTGCTCTGAGAAACATTTAATCTACATATAGGTACACAAAGGTTTTATGGTAAAAGGTTCACTTTTTCAGACCCTCCCTTTACAATCACTGGCTACAGGCCTGATTAAGATTAAACTGTGCATGGGTATAAAAACATGAAATATGAAACTCTTGTAGTAGTGCACTATGCATAACAGCTAGGTAACCTCAAAGAGAAAAAAAAATAAAGTAGGAAAGATTCTTAAGAAGAGCAAAACAGAATGACAGTTTGATGAAAAAAAAAAGATTAGAAATTGCTATATTGCCAGCACCAGCACGGTAGCCTGCTTTGTTTTCTCAGCCAGTTAATTTCCAACAGCATGAATTAAACCGTTTGATACCTAGGTCATAATGTTATCAAGAGGAGCAGTTATATGAAGAAAAACCAGGGGCCTTTTATCAGCCTTATTGAGGAGGAAGGGAATGAAGTTATCTGCTTTAAATGAAGCATTGAGTCATTCTGTGCCCAGATGTATAGTTCTAGGGACTGAGTGTAGGGATTGGGAAGTTTTATTTATTTGCCCATTTACAGAATTCTTGGGACAGAACCATTAGTGAAGATTGAGATGCCTTGGTACACGTTAAGCTAGTAAAGGCTTATTGTTTGTTCTTTCCTTCCTGTTTAATTTTTAAAATATTTTCTACCACTACTTACTGAATTGTACAAGCAAAGTGTACTCAGGTATTCCAGTAAGCAGAGTCCAATTGTACAAAAATATTGTGTTAATTATAAAAAAATTCTGTTACATTATTCTTGTTGAAATAGTGGATGTAAGTCCCAGACATTTGTCAAAAATGTCACACATTGAGGTTTATTTGCTTATTTAATGTTTGAGCCAAATGACCTTTTTTTTTGTTCAGCATTCATGATGAAATTAAACATAAAATTATTTTTTAAAATATTTTTTTTTCCATTTTCCACACTCAAAGATAAAATAAATTATGCATTTTATAAGAAATCCTTAACCTAGTACACCAAAACTTTTCAATAAATTTCAGACAGGTAATCCTCACAAATCCTTGTCCTTCACTTTAGCTGGAGAACCTGTTTTGTTATGTCATCATCTAGGGGTCTTTCACATCCTTGCCGTGGCTGTTCCCTCACTTTGATGTCTGCCAGAGATATATACGCAGTGGCTTGTAACCTTGCAGGTGTTCCCTGTATTTTTACTACACGGTGTCGCCAAGCAACCAAGGCATGTTGGAGATTTGTAGCCAGTGAAGAGCTGATTAGGGGATTAGCAAAGAAATGCCAGTCCATCAACATCGAGGTGATCATCTGCGTGATCATGTCTCAATGAGATTTCCATGGGTCTGTCTGCTGTCTGTCTGTCTGTCTGCCTGCCTGTCAGCCGGTCGGTCAGTCATCTGTCATTGTCTGACTGCCTGTTTTTATGTCTGTCTGTCCGTCCATCTGCCTGCTTTTTTTTCTCACTGTCTATTACTTTCAATATAATATCCTTTTAACAATAAACACATTTTAGATGTCACATACATTTTCTTAATCTCCTATTAAATTGTGCTTTCTTAATGATTTTTGCAATGGTGGCGCATTCCACTGCAAATATATATACCAAACTTGAAAATTAGTAAGCTTTCACTTCTCTTGATCTCATTGTGGCCTACGAGGTCATCAAAGTTTGATTTGCTCGTACTTGACTAAGATATAAATGAGCTGCCCAGATAGTGGTGTTTGTAGATTTTAAAGCATTTGATCCCAGATTGAAACATTTTTCAAACATTCTTTAAGTGTTGGTTGTCAAAACTTTCAAATTTATACAAGGACTTAAGAATTTCAATAGTATGCAGTTTCAACAGTATGTTTAACTGTACAGAAGTGAATCTAAAATAATTGCAGATTGAAAATGCATTTATAGAAGACAAGAAGATTAAGAGTAGATATTCTAGCTGAGATGTCAGTATTTTTTCCAAATTTTATAGTATGCACAAAAAGGGTAATAGATAAACATGATAACTGGATACAATTTAGAAAAAATAAAAAACATAAAAATGAATCCGTTTCCTCTTCACCAAAAATGAATGATTTGGTTATTTTTCTCCATTAAAATCACAACTTCAAATCACAATGTCTGATATGATGCTCTCTGTTGTACGTTATACTGCGCCTCCCCTGGCAAAATGCCAAATGATAAATTTATTGATTTGCGGCATAAGTCAAAAGATTTTCACATCTGTTAAGTCAACAAATACCTGGTTGAAGTGGACAGTTATCAAAGCAGTGTTGATACACAATGAACGAGGTGACAGACCTTATGGATGATTAAACATAGAAAAGGTGGGACACGGGGCACACAGTGATTATTACAGCTAGTTTCAGTTTTGATAATTTTTGTGTGAGAAGAATTGGTGACAGTTTTAAATGTTTGGATTTGTTGGGAACTTGTGAGGCTTTTGTCCCATATAGTAAACTAAAGGAAATTGATATCAGTGAGTTAAATGAAAAAGAGACAGAAATAGCCACATTTAAATGAAACTGACTTAAAATGATCAAAAAAGAAATAAATTGGTAAACTTAAAGAATAAGTACTCAGTAATTATCACTGGTTGCTGATCATTTACTCTCTGTCTAGAAACAAAGGTCGTTAGTAAATTGTGGAACATTTTGTGTATTCTTTGATTGAATTATTAAAATATTATTAAGTTGCACAACTGTCTAGCTCCCATCAATATTATAAAAGGCATAGTGTCGATTTATTAGAATTTGGTATTTTGGATAATCTGAGAATTAAACTACACACTAAACTGCTTATATGTCAAGATCAGAAATAGCAAGGAAACACAAATTGACATTTATCCAAATTTTCATACTCTGAATGATTTTCTGTCTCAAAATCAATGGATATACTTTGGAAAATTAAGTTATTTCTGCTTCTCATGACTCATTACTTTAATCATTTTGTATTTTATCTGTATTTGTCTTTCTTTTATTTAATTTACCATAATTGAAATAAAAAAAGTGCTAAAGACTTAACCACCTGGTGTGCTTGACAATTTTCAAGTGACATATTTTTTACCTGTACAGTACCAGTGGCACATTGGAGTACAACCATGTGAAAAGAATTTTACTGAGCTTAATTTCCTTACAATTAATGGTGTTTTATTATACTTTGCCTTTTCATGGCCTTTGATTGTTTATGATTGCATGTGATTGCAGATTAATTATATGGAGTTAGGGCGAGGTGGGGGGGGGAGGATGAAAATAAAAGCTGTTCATGGAACACAGGCAATATCTGCAAAGAAGCATAACATTAACTGATTGAATAAGCATTACTGTGTTACTGCCACTGACTGTTGATATTTTTAAGACACAAGATATCCATATTGATAGAGAACAAACAAAGAAATCTAGTTCACATAACTGTAATTGCATGCATACCCAGTAAATGTCCTTTTCTTAAGAGATCTAATTTATGAGAGAAAGCGTGCATTGATCTGCTATCTGTAATTGACATCAGATCTGCGAAGAGACAGATAAGGTTTTCACTAAATCCCATGTGACCTTGATTGAAAAGCCTTTCCGGCTTAATATCCAGTTCAGTATTTTGGACTGGATCACAGGTGTACATGTACTAGCTGGAGCCTCACAGGTGTGCTGAGACAGAGGAGACAGCCATCACAGTGTCAGCGTATAAAATCACTACAGCTTTACTATCAGAATTGCAATTCAGATAAAATATACTGGATTTTTTTGGCAGGTATGTGCTTTGATTTGTTAAAAATAATTAACAAAAAAATGATAGAGTGTAAAAGTTTTTGGAAATGAGTCAAGAAATAAATTAGTCATTTGTGCAACGTGCTTAGGAAAAAATTGAGAAAACTCACTACTTTATGCTTTTTTTATTTGGGGGGGGTGGGTGATTAATAGAGTTTAATGTCCGTGATAAGATGTTTGACTGCAGATGTTGCTTAATATATTGTCTGACTACTAAGAATTTTGTATCTCTTCTTTAATGAAATCATGATGCTAAATTTCACAGAGTCATCTTAACTTAAACCTATATTTCTATGTAGATCTATAAATAGGAAAATTCATACCTCGAGTCATTTCTGTGAAAACCAGTAAAACCAGTACAAGTAAACAATTTCTCTTAATTCCACTTTTTAGCCATTAGATTTATCTTTTTTATAAGGAGGAAGTTTAAGTATAGACTTATGAACAAAGTCAATATTATTGGAGACGTTATGGTGTTGTTGTAATACAGGCATACCACCGTGAGGGGAGAGGGCGTGGAGTTTTTGGCAGCCTCTCACCCCTTACCAAATCATTGGTTTCCTCCTCTAGACAAGTGAATGAAAGTCAGAAATTGTCATTAAACCACATAAAAGATGTCTTATACATACATGTGTATTTTGTTTCTATTTTTGCATCTTAATTGGTCTGCAATAGGGAAAAACAAGGAAAAAGTTTTTAAGTACATGTATTAGAAGAAACAGTTATATAATGCTTTTTTCTGACTAACTACTGTAAAGGTTGTTGTTGTGGTTAAATGTGTACATGCTAAAAAACAGTTCAATGTTTTTCAAGTCCCTGTGTCGCCAGTGTGGAATACTTCATTTCTGATGTGTTCAGAGGGAGGAGCAAACAGCATCTAATTCAGCGTCAATATTTTGCTTCAATTTGTCAACGTTTACAATGTCAGGCTTCTGCCGCACACACACACACACACACTACGACTGACTGAATCAATGGTTACTGGACCTTTTGTGAACTTTTCACACAGGTTACAGCCCACGTATAACAAAACGTGTGATTGTTGTGGTTTAATCGTTTTTTCTGTTGAAATATTTATCAATAACAGTTGGGTAATGGGACCATTAAGGGAAGTAATTCACACGGTGGTTTTCCCTGAAGGCTTTAAGCCTTCTTAGTAACGCTGGCTTCTCAGTCTGATTTGACCTGAGTTGTCTTGGTAATTTGAAAGATAAAGAAAGATGGAAGACTTTGGTGGAGTAAGATAAGATTTAATGAAAATGAGAGGATAAAAGTCTGTGTGATGATGATCTAACATGCTGAGTTGGTACCTTGATGTAGCTTTTGACTGAAGACTTTGAAAATATAGGTGGTATTGTTTGAAGTATACGTGTTTGGACTATTCTTTTGAATAGATTATTACTGTTATACTGTGAGCTATACTAGTACTAATATTTTATGTTTTATTTCCAAACAATAATTACATTGAGCAATATACACAGTGCTGTCTGTCAATTAAATCAATTTTTTCTTATCTAGCTGATATACTGTCCTACAGAATTTTAAAAATTCATTCAATTATTATTTTCATTTTTAGATATCATCTTACAGCCTGCCTCCTTGTCATTTCTAGAACTCTCCAGTGACTGAGGCCCAAGTATCTAGAGAAGATGACAGAGGATTGCGCCAGGAGAATGGTTGTAATGACAGGTATGTATGGGTTTTACTTTCTTCTGCAACATGACCTGAGGCATGTAGATTTGGTATCAAATTAGTAAATTGATAGATTTTTAACAGTTACTAGTGCAGTTGGAAGAGTGGGAATTTTAGCCATGTTTTTTTTTATTATTCTGTCATTATCTATAGAATCCATTTATTATTATTATTATTATTATTATTATTATTATTCACAAAAAATATTATCTCAGAGAAGTAGGACAAAAGTTAAAGATACATTGATCATGAATAATGGCACAGTGTTTTTGTTAGCTGGAAGGAATGTACATGTATGAAATCCAATTGAAGAAACTTCCAAGTCTGTGTCAAAAAAGTTTTCAAAAATCTCAAGAGTAACAGATTAGATCGACCTACTTTAGATCGACCTAACTCCCTGGGTGTTCACGCTAGATAGCTGTCAGCCGGGCGGACACGAAAGTTAATTACCCCCTTACAGCTTGTAGTAGGCGGGACAGACATTTAAGTCGGATTATCTGAAAGTAATCTAGTGAGACTCCCCGCGGGGATAGATCGATCTAAAATCTATGGGAATAGAGCCTAATATGAGTTTTATGGATGATGATAAAAGATACCAGTTGTTTACTTCTTTCACCTGTAAGACATACTAGTGCAATTAAGTAAACTTTCTAAGAGGAATTCTTTTTTCATGTTATAGATATTGGTTTAGAAAAATACTAGACAAACATATGTTTAAGAGAGGAAAGCCGACATGAGCTTTTTCTGCGGAAAAGTGGAATTCCATGTTTTTTAATTCAGTACTGATGGTTCCTGAATTCGTCAAGGTTAGATGTTGGGTTCCATGATAATTTTTTTTTTTTTTTTTTTTGAAACGTAGAAGAAAAATTGTTAGAAATGCATGCATTTTAATTTCGGAAGTTTCACTTTGAAGATCAGAGGGTAAATGCTAATGTGCTCATTTGATTCCACACAATTGGGATGTTTCATTTCTAGACTAGCTGCATGTGCTTGTATCTGTTTGAAGTGATATAAGATGACACATACATGATATGGAGCTTGTAATAGAAACTTCGAGATCAACCAAACTTTAATTTGGTTGTAATGCTGGATGAAAAAGAGTCATTATTGGAGGTATGTGATCAACAGTGAAACATCTGGCTTAATTTTTTTTATTTAATCAAGTATGTTTGTTGCCTTTTGTTACATTTAAACCTAAAATAGTTGGAAGATGTTATTTGGGATATCTTATTTCTGAGCCATGTGTCATTGAATTGACTAATTGACTTGCTTTGGAAGTTACCTTAATTGCATGGCATTGGAGGTTAGATTCAAATATGAAGCATGCAATTTAATGTTATATTTTATATAATATGGGGAGAGGGGTAACAGCTTTTATTGTTCGAAATAGCTGGGTGATGCCAGACATCAGTTTATGTTAGCTACTACTGAATTGGAAGATAGGAGTCGTGAGCTGACCATGCCTGAATGCTTGTTTTTGTTTTTTAACATATATATCTAAAGTAGCTGAAATAATAATATTAAAGTTTATGGTTAAAACTAGTGTATTTTTTGTTAAAAATAACTGATCAGGACCAACAGCTGGAGCACGTCCAAATAGTCTCCTGTACCTGTCTTATCTCATCTGAAATAATTGACGTATTTGCTCAGCAGAGATCTGAGTTCAAACCTAATAGGATCACAGCAATCCCTTCCAGTGGCAAATTTAACAGCAATTGTTCGGTATTGGCTATGTAATGATCACACCTCTTTTGTAATATTTGCACTTCAAGTTCCACTCAATTCCTTTACAATAGGTCCTTCAAGGGGAATTGAGTGGCTTGATAGGGCTATTGTGTGGGATTTATGTACCCCTGAAGGGGGGGGGGTGTCTTTCGAGGGGTTTAGAATTTTTGCTTTGGAGTCTGGGATAAACCAAGAAGGCCCAGGTGAGACATTTATATTCTAATACAACCTGCCATCAATGAAGTTTTTTTTAACCACACTCGGCATGAACTACCTTAGTTTCTTGCATGTTTTTTCTCCCTTTTTTTCCTAAACTGGCTTGTTCCTCCCATCATCATGCAGCCATCTTTTGCAAATGTCATAGTTTCTTAAGACAGTTGTTAAATTCTATTTGATTTCAGGATTTTGCTCAGAGAGAAATTTGACAATGTTTACAAAGGAGTCTTGATTTTAACTCCTGCACATTGGGCTAAGAATGCTGTTGTTGATGCAGACTTCAGTAACTTTATCTTGTTATGTTGAATTCTGTTTGGTTTTAGGATATCTGTCAGAGAGAGAGAGAGTTGACAGTGTGTTCAGTCAAACTTTCATCTCAGGTGCGTTCACAATACAGGGGCGGATTTAGGCCGTCTTCTGGGTCTTCCGGAAGATGGTCAGATTTTCATATTTACATTGACGGATATGTAATTTTTTCAGTCGGAAAATGGTCAAAATTGGATGATGAATCAACAAAGATAATTTGGAAGACTGTCAGTAAATAGCTCTGGATCCGCTCCTGCAATAAAACTATCCTATAGGTAGTTCAAGCTATGCCAGGACTCTCGCTGATTGCAATCAGATTAACACGATTCCTAATTGTAAATGCAACCTTAATTGGGGCCAGTGACTTGCATTGCGTGAAGCTCAGATTTGGAGCTCAGATGTGGTAGAAAAAATAAATTTTTTATGTACTAGTTCTATATGATAAATAAGTGGTCTATCAATATAATGATGCAGTAGTGGAGAATTGGGAGAAGAGGCATGTGATTAAAAACTTCATAAATCAAGATACAACTATCTTGGCTATTGGCTATTAATTTTAACTGATTAATCTGGTTATAAGTATTTAACTGCTTGATATTTTCTTTATTGATTTTTGATTTAGCTAAAATATTTAGATGTTGTTATAGGTATATTGTGCTAGTAGAGGAAGCCTAGAAACAGATCACTGCTGTGGCTAAGACGCGATAGTCTGACACAATCTGATAAGAACCACTAACACAATGGGTAATTTTGGCAGAAGTCTTGTTCAAGCTCTCATACACAGGTTGGGTCTGTAGTTTAGCGATTTCAAAAGAGGGGAGGGGTCATTTTCTGAAAAGAAAAAGGTGGATCTTTTTTTTTGTCCCATTTGTTAACCCATTCTCAGAAATGACATAGAAAGGCCAGAAAGAGTGTTTTGCTCAAACCTCCCAACTCCTACAAGTATGTTGCTTAAAATATAATGTTTGAATGAAAGCATGGACTTCTCACAGATCAGTGTCAGTTGCTTCCCCTTAAAACCATCACTTAAACTGAACCAAATGCAGATTTAAATGTATGATTGCCCTAGCTGTCAAACTGTTAAAAGGTGTCAAACCTTAGGGTTTGGGATGACATATATCTCTTTGTGTAACACTGTCTAGTCTTGTCAACGTCTCGACACTTTCTGTACTTGGCTCGCCATCATCCATTTACCTCCGAATACACCCCCATTGGACATCAATCATCATTGCGCACTGCACAGTGATAGATTGGCAGCCCTTTTGCTGATACAATGTATCATGATTTGGAAAATGAATAGATTGATGGATCACTTTGACATATATTTCAGAAGAATTTATCATGTAATATTGAAGGGATTTGACAGCACTTTTCATGATTTTATGATGGGGAAGTAATTGCTATTTTGGTTTTGTTAAAACACATCTATTGATTGTTATTAAGAATTGCTTGGGGTTGATCCAGTGAAATGAACAGTAATGAAATCATATGGTGAAAATGAGAAAAAAGATTAAATGGAATAATTCATTTATAAAATATGTAAGTGTGATTTCTTGCATTCTGTGTGACTTTTTACTTCAGTTGCATGTAATATAAGTGCATTCTATACTTTTCATGCTCATATTCTAAACTATTGTTTGATATCTTTCAGATATTGTAAAGCGCAGTGTGTTCTCTATCTGTGCATATAAATCTTGAAAAAATTAAGATAATTGATATTTTCTAGAACTGAAACATATAAACTAGAAAAAAGCAAAACAAGTGAGTCATAGGAAATCTTGGTTCAAATTTCCATCTATTTTAAAATCATACTGCTTCTTAGAGAAAAACATATATACCACAGATAAACATGTTCAGCTGAGGGACTGTAAATCCTGATCTATGAACTCAAACATATGATTGGTTGTGTCAAACGAAGGCAGCGACCCATGAACCCCTAGTACTCCTTAAGTCTTCATGTTGTGACAGGTGTTTTGTCAGGTTAAATGGCCTTATCCTTTCTCACCTGTCTGGAGGTGACAGTTGGCATTAAGTACTGCAATCACCGCACCATCAAGGTGCCATCTTGTGATGAATGGTTGTACTGACAAGGGCAGACAATGTTGTTAATGTCTGCTGCTGCTGTTAGATAGTGGTTAAATAAACTCGTATTTTGTCAATAACAGTCTGAGACATGGGATGGCAGTATGAGGTATCATACTATAGGAGTTGGCTTTAGAGTAGTGAAAGTATAGCATTTTTCAACGTTCAAGCAGATGAAAATCTTAGTGTTTGTTTTAGGTTATTTTCCTATTTTCTCTTGCTTTAGTCATCGTTCTAGTCAACTTTGATCAGGTTCAGACTTGGTACCCTGTAGTTTTTGGAGACCCACTTTTACGTGTGTGTGTGTGTGTGTGTGTGTGTGTGTGTGTGTGTTAAGGCTCGCACACTATCCATGAATCACCTTTTCCCAAAAAAACAATAAAAAAGTAATAAATCAATATTTTTTTTACTTTTGATAAAAAGGAATATCTAATCATACTAGTATGTAATTTAAATTATTTCCCTTTACTTTCCTTTTCTAATTCTGCCAGTGAACACAGTTGTTTGTCTTGTGTTTTAACATGCACAGCACATGTCATATACCCTCAGGGTTGAGTACTATGGTATAGAATGTTCTAGAGAAAAGATGGAAATATGCAACTTCTATTTTGCTCCCATGAGGTCAGATACCCCAGGCTATAAAAGAGTTATCATTGTTAGGACAGAGA